CACCTTCAACTACTTCCTGTCTCGCCTCGTACTATCAATTTGATACCTCAACCTGGAAAAAAAGCTTGTTTCTATGTGATCAGGAAAAAGCTATAGAAAATGTGAAGGCAACGTGGCGAACGTTTTTTAGTATACTTTTTAGTCTCATGATTTTTAGCACCACCTCAATTTCACTTTCTATTCAACCCAATTTTGCACCCCAGCCGAGAAGGCACGTGTTCGTAGCCCCAGGGTATGTGTGTATGCGTACCCATATTTTTACACATGCTGCCCCTTCGCCTCCTCCTCCTCTTGTGAAGCCGAAGGGAAGGGGAAGAAAAAGTGAGGGTGGTGTGTGTCCGGCTCGATCTCCCCCGGCTCGGCGAGAAGGATTTACCCCCCGGCTTCCCCCGCCACTGCACAATTGGCCCCTGATTGACAAAACAGACCATTTGGCACTTGCCATTGTACTTGTTTTAAAATTTAAACTACAACTACAAATCTATTGAAATGCCCGGGAGTTTATAAAATTATTGATCTGCTGGTGATCCGGCGCTGAATTCCTCCAAGAACATTTAATCCTGCGAAATGAAGCGCCAGGCGAGTTTTCAATCTGTAAATAATTTTGTAAAGTATTTTTTAGAACGTGCGCACGCTGTCTCTTATTGTATGTACCTTGACGTACCTTCTCGTTGGTGCTGCAGTTTTTGATGCCCTCGAATCGGACAATGAGATGCAACAGGTTGGTTTTTAAAAGTTTAAAATATTTGTTCAGGTCGCACTCGTCCAACGGATACGACGGCGGCTACTCGACAAGTACAACATGTCCGAAGCTGATTATGATATTTTGGAGGTGAAATCACGCGATTTTACGTTTTGATGCTCTATTTTCAGGCCACAATCGTCAAAGGCGTCCCGCATAAGGCCGGCTATCAATGGAAGTTCAGCGGGGCCTTCTATTTTGCAACAACTGTAATTACGACTATAGGTTGGTTGTCCAAAATCATATTAACATTAATTTTCTCAGGATATGGGCACAGCACGCCGATGACCACCGGGGGAAGACGTTTTGCATGTTCTACGCGCTGGCGGGGATTCCGCTCGGGCTGGTGATGTTCCAGAGTATCGGTAGGGAAAGAATAAAACGTTAAAAGTGGGTGTTTTTTAGGTGAACGCATGAATACGTTTGCCGCGCAGCTGTTGCGTTTTGTGCGCCGGATCTCGGGGCGGAAGCCAGAGGTAAAGCTTTAATTTTCGACTGATTTTCGTTTTTAGGTAACCCAAATGGACCTAATCTTCATCGCCTCCGGCTGGGGCACCTTTTTGATCGCGGCCGGCGCGTGGGCCTTTCATCGCTACGAGGGCTGGTCGTATTTTGACTCAATCTACTACTGCTTTACGACGCTGACGACGATAGGTTGCTCTTTGCGGCTAGCTTTTCAAGCGTTACAAAGTCTTAGAAACATTTCCAAACTTTATGCAGGTTTTGGCGATTTTGTGGCCCTGCAAAAAGACGGGGCTCTCCAATCCAGGCCGGATTACGTCGTCTTCTCGCTGGTGTTCATCATGTTCGGGCTGGCCGTCATTTCGGCCGCGATGAATTTGCTGGTGCTCCGGTTTTTGACGATGAACACGGAGGTTAGTTTCGGCGCTAAAAAGGTCTGGTTCGGTGCCTTACTTTTCCTTAGTGCCGCAAGTGCCCATCGTAAGCTAATAAAAACTTTTAAAAACTATGAAATAAACTTCAAAACGCTAAGAATTTTGTTGGGTAAGTATAGTCGAGAGAGATTTGCACCCGCTCAAAAAATCCCCCCCGCTAAAGGACCATAACCTGGAAACAGTTCAATATTTTCTTGACAATTCAGGACGAGAAACGCGATGAAAGAGAAGCCTTACTAGCAGCTCGAGGGCTGGTCCGCGTCGACTCATCAGATGAAGAGGAGACAGCATTCGGGCGGGGTGCCGATGATGAGGTGTCGGTGAGTCGAAAATTTTTGTTCGTTGCCATACAATCAACACCAAAGCGCCATTCGCCATTACTTTCAGATCTGTTCGTGCTCATGCTATCGGCTCCCGTACGGCGAAATTCGACAGCGCCAACGCATTCAGCGCGACTCGATCAAGGCCGACCGGATGGCCGGCGAGCCGGCACAACCCTCACCGCTTCTCACCCATCGGCCGCACCAACAATAAAGAAATTACTCTACTTTGCTTACTTTTCCAAAATACCCAAAATGGCAATCCGGGTTGGGATACATTCATGCGCAAGTCGAACTAACCGGTAACCCGAGAGACGGAGAGAAAAGAGAAAGCCGCGCATTCAAAAATTTCGTAACTGGAGTTTTGGATGGCTTGTAAAACTTCAATAATAAAGTTTAAAACTTAGAGAAAGTCCCAAAAATTGTGACGTCCATCAATGTGTTGAAAAACGGCGTTGCTCTGAATGGCAGAACAACGCCATTGATAACAATAAAGGCGCCCTTTTTATGTGCTGCTATGTTTTACTGGCTTTTTAGCCCCTATTATTGTTTTGAACTGATATCGGCTTTCAAAATATCTCTTTTGCTCCATTTCCTATCTTAATCCTTATAAAAATTCAGCACTTTTCAGCGATGTATTTGCTCAAGCGGCTCGTCCCAGTCAGCGGCGTTGTAGCGGCGGCTCATTGTTATTCTGACGACGCTTTAAAAAGGTTGTTGTACTTTAGAAGCCTTTAATATTGTAGTTTAGAAAACCTGATGCTTGGACCGACTCGGCGCGCAATGGCGAGCGATCTGATACGGAATTCGGGATGGACATGTTCCCCCGAAAGAAGTGGGACTCGAACTGGGACCAGTGAGTCTTTTGCGGACCTTTTTGTACCAGTTTTTAGGCGCGATCCTAAGTGGTTGATCGATTCGAAGGTGTTGAAGAGTGCTTCCGAGGAAAAGCAGAAAGAAATAATTGCTGAGGTAATTTTCTGCTCAATAACTTTCCAAATTTTTTTAGCATAAGCCGACGGCCACCCGGAACATCATCCTGATTCGACACGGCCAATACAATATGGATTCCGAGGATAAATTTTTGACGGATTTAGGTAGGATATGAGTTTAAATAATTTACTTGATATTAGGGCGTGAACAAGCAGCGATACTTGGAAAACGATTAGCCAATAATGGGATCAAGGTATCTATTATTTTCAGTCCTCTATAAACGGTTTTAAGTTTACAACCCTGACTATGTCGACAATGAATCGAGCCAAGGAGACAGCAGAGATCATATTAGAAAAGGTAACAGCTCTTTTCTTTGTTTTTTTTTGCGGAAACTCTCACAAGGGAAGTGCACGACCGGCCCACGAGAAATCGATAGGAGACATAGTGGATCTGATAGAATCGGACACGGGGATTCCGAATCTGTAATCAGAATTTGCTAAATAAAACGGAGAAAAAAGTTATGAAGCTTGAAAGTGGGTAAAATCGCCCAAAATCGGACTTTTATAGGCCTGTAAAGGCCCAGGGAATGGAAATTTTCCACAACCCATTAGTGCATCTTGTTCAGGAGAAAAAGCTCTTTCGAATGAGCTATTTTACTGCAAGTTTACGATGATTTTGCAGAAATCTCTTCTATGAACTTGACAGGCCATACCCTTGCCCGTGAATTCAAAAAACTTTTTTTTAGTGAATTGTTTGTAAATGCTACGTATTACAGCTCATTCGAAAGCGCTTTTTCTGCTGAACAAGATGCACTAATTCTTTTCTCCTCAATTCCGTTCCCCCGGTTTTTACGGGCCCATAAAGGTCCGATTTTGGGCGATTTTACCAACTTTGAAGCTTCATAACTTTTTTCTCCGTTTTATTTAGCAAATTCTGATTACAGATTCGGAATCTCCGTGTCCGATTCCATCAGATCCACTATGTCTCGTGTTGATTTCTCGTGGGCCGGTCGTGCACTTCCCTTGTCAGTTCAGCTTCCATCCGACCTGTCTCGAAAGAGCGATTCGTTGCTCGAAGAGGGCCGACCCTACCCTACAGAACCTGCCCGATCCCGTTGGCTCCCCGCTAAGGTTTCATTTTTAGGCTATTTTCTACTTTTATCTTCTAGGAATACTTCACGCAAGGGGCTCGCATTGAGGCGGCTTTCCGCAAGTACTTCCATCGCGCGCCCCCACAGCAGAAAGAAGATTCTACCGAAGTACTCGTCTGCCACGCCAATGTGATCCGTTACTTTGTTTGCAGGTTAGAGATGTCTTTCTTCAACTAAATCTATTTTAGGGCTCTCCAATTCCCGCCCGAGGGCTGGCTCCGAATGTCGTTGGGCAACTGCTCGATGACGTGGCTGACGATAGGTCCAAACGGACGCGTGGCTCTCCGCAGTCTTGGTGACTTTGGGCACCTTCCCGCCGACAAGGTCACGTTCAGTTAAAATATCATTTATTATCTTGATATTAATAACTAGCTCCCTTATCTTGGAAAGTATCTAATTTTTGGCTCTTTAGCTTTATAGATTATGTAGTTTTGTTTTGATAAGTGGTTTGGTTTATTTTTATGGTTCTCACCTGAAAGTGGTTTTTCTCGTCCAAATCGGGTCGAAAATGGCAAAAATGTGGCTTTAGGCTAGAAATGCGCCGGAAATCAGTTTTTTTTTAGAAAATCAGTACTTTTTAAGAAAATTCGAGAGGCAGATTTCGGAAAAACATCTTTCCGGCATTTTTTTTTTTGCCTGCAAACGCACGGAAAACACGTTTTTCAATGAGGGCGATAAAATTAAATTCCCCCGCCTTGTTGTTTGTAATTTTTCGGGTTTATCCACAGCTCGTCATTGTGTCGTTGATCTCTATTCACACCTTTGCATAAATATGGAATTTCTTGTAAAATCAAACAGCACAATCAACGGTAAAATCGCTTTATTTCACCCAGCACAAGTACACGAACATTTTAAGGTTTTTCGAAAAGCGTTTTCTTCGCTATAAGAGGAGGGGAACAGGCAGCGGGGGCGGGACAGGAAGTAGTTGAAGGTGAACGAATCGAAATGGTGGGCGCTTATCGGGTGGCCGCGTCGTACTCCTCGATGAACTTGTTGTACTTCTCGACGTTCTCCGGGGTGAGCACCGACTTGTTCTGCGCCTTGTACTTGTCGAGGAAGTAGAAGAGCAGGATGCGGTGAATGTAGAGGTATTGCTGAAATAACTCACTGAAAGGAGTTTTTGCTAGTTTTCGCAGCGGCACCATGGCCGGCTTCAACTGTCATAGTTATTTAGCTTCTTGAAAAAGTTAATCTCATGATCTCGATCCGAAAAGTGCCTTTTGTTCCCGAAATCTATCCAGATCGCGTTAGTCAATATTTTCCATATTAGCAGGGCCGCGCGAACGCAGCCCCCCACGCAAAAATTTAGCTGTAGGCGAACCCCAACTCGGAGCTGCCTTACAGGTCAGCCCGGCCGAAAGTGCAATGGTCAAGCCTCGCCATAGGGGTCCCGTCTTGATGATCACGGGAACCCCCCCAGCCAGGTAAGTTTATGAGGGGATGGGGGAGGGAAGATACGGGGGTGGGATGGGCCAGATGGGGGGCTAGTGGGTATGGGGCGGCGAACATGCGGAGAGCACACAGGGATTGCGCTTCATGGCTCTGTTCCTGGGTACAGACTGGCGCCGCGGGAAAGGAATTCTGGTCAACAGTCCAAGCCTAAGTTATTCCTAAGACAAGCCACGCCCAAACCCAAGCCTACCAAGTCATTCTGAATGGACCAGGGCCGCTGCTCGCGCAACTCCTTCAGCAGCTTGTCCATGTCGACGCAGTCCTTGCCGTGCTGCAGGCATTCCAGGATGTATCTGAAGCCGAGTTTTCTTGCTTTAAAATCAAAATTACATGTTTTTAATTGATTTAAACCAAAAACCTTAAACAAGTGCTATTACTAATTTTTAAAATCGCACTCAATAGCCACAATGGTCCCAGTGCGCCCGATCCCAGCCGAGCAATGGACGGCGATCGGCTTCTGCGTGCCGCGGATTCGGGAGAGCAGCTCCTAAAAGTTGCCTCATCTACAGTAACCCCCTCCTAACACTTACCATCGACGTCAACCGGCACGGCGGCACCCCACGGTCGGGCCAGTCGATCCAGTGAAAGTGGCGTACGTCGCGAGTGGCCGGCTTGTCGTCTTTCTTGAAGTCGATGCGCAGCACGGAGACGTTCACTGACGGCTCCTCGGGGCTCATCGGTTTGATCTAAAGGAGGGGGCATGAAATCACCAACAAGTAGATGATCTCACGTCAGTGTTGGTGATGGTGATGTCGGGGGACACCTCGAGTTTTTCGCCCTTTTCCATTGGGAAGTACTGAAAAAGTGGGGTAGGTTCTTTAGGATTTCCGGGGGGGGACTAATTTTTTGCGTCATACTTTATGGAAGATACTACCGATAGCGTAGAATTTAACGGTGCTTTTGCATTATCGGGGGAGGGGATCAAAAATGCAAAAATATCGATTTTCGGTGAAAAAATGACGATTTTCATCCAAAATTGAAAATTTTAAAGTTTTGTAAAGTTTTTCCGCTTGAAAAGCAGTTAGCAGAGAAGCAAATTGTCCTTATACAATCACGGATTAACAGAAGAAGTCAAACCGGATACCTTGAAGCACTTGAGCTTGCCCTGCTCGACCAAGTTGCACAGCATGACGATGGTCTCGACCTCTTCCTGGATGATCATGCACCTAGAATCGATAGTTCAGAGTTTTGGCGAGGCAAAAGCCCAACCAAAAATCGACGACAGTCGTCTCGAGCGGCCCCTGCGTGCAGATGAAGCGGTTCTCCATCTGGGGTGTCTTGACGAAGTTGCCGTGGATGTAGTCGCCGCTGGCGCCCGGCCATTTCAGCACCACACGGCATTTGTCTTGGCATGGCACGTCTTGGTAGCTGGAAACGGTACTTGTTTAATTACGGGGGCGGGGCTAAGGTAAAAACCACAAAATTCCATTAAAACTACCAAAAATAAAATGTTTAGACCAATCTTTCGACACATAATACACTGCAAAAATATGGATTTGGTCGCCCAAAAATTATCAATTTTCGATCAAAAGTTAGCATTTGATTTTACCGATTCTTGTTCTCCGGCTGGGCGGCCTTAAACGCGTCGACGGTCATCCCATCCGGGCACCACTTCGACAAGCCTCGGTATTCCTCGCGCAGCGCCGGCACGCCCATGTCCAACGCGCGCTGGATCCACTTTTGCACCTTATCAGAAGGTTGTAGCTGACCAAGAAGCCCGCACCTGTGTCCCGGCGCCGGGGACGCTCAGCGCCTTGGCGGGACCGTCGGCCGGCGGCTCATCGGGGGCCGCCTTCTTGGACTCCTTCTTCGACTTGCGGCTGCTCTTCACCTCCTCCTGGAGCCGATTTTGGGTTCTTTCGCATTATCGGGGGGGGTAATTTTCACTAGTTTCCCATAATTTTTAAAATGATCGATTGATTGATTAACTTCCCATGAATTTATTAGAAATCGCTCCTCCCCCGATACCGCAAAAGTACGGCCATACCTTGACGGGCTGTGTCTCCTTCTCCTTGCGCTGCTCGGCCTCCTTCTCGGCCTGCAGGGCCAACGTCTTGCTCTTGGTCTCTCTAAAGCGGCGCGCGGTAAGGGCTAGGCGCATCCGGAGAGGAGGGGCAGATCTGAAGTGAGCACCAACCCTTTGCACATGTGATGGGGTGGTGGCGGGCAGAAAAGGGGGCAGAATCAAGAAGAGATAAGTAGATGACCAGCGAGAGAGGGCACGAGGGGAGACGTGAACGGAAAAGCCGACTGGCGGCCCCTTTATAGCACGGATTCGGGCTGATGGAGATTGGACGACTTCTGGTTGGTAACGATTTATTCAAAAAAGTGAAACCGGATGGTAATTGATTTATGTAAATTTATGTAAAATGCGAAAATAATGGTATTGGTTCGTTAGGGAGGGGGTGGTGGCAAATAATATCTAGGTGACAGAAATGGACTGGAAAATGCTTTTTGGGAGTATCGGGGTTGTATTAAAGGGGAAAATCGGGTACATTATTAAAGAAAAATGTCCATTTTACTGAAGAAATAGCTCTGGTTCATTATCGGGGGGATCAAATTCACGAAAATTTGCCTCGAAATTCAAATTTTTTGATTTTCAACCTTTTTCATAAGTTTGTCATAACTTGTTAATAATAATTGGAGTCTATTAAACCCATTTAAACCCTGAAAAAAAACGGTTTATGTTATGAAGCTCAAGTTGAATAAAGTAAGTTAGCCCCCCGCTAATAAACCAGAACCAATAAAGGTTAAGTGAAAAACAAAAATTGAAAATCAGAAAAAAGAAAATGAGGCTCTATTAATGCGACGCGGTCCGGGTACTGCTTTTCGTGCGGCGGGCGGACAGCTTGCTGATGGACAGCCGCTTGCTGCTGATCGGGTGCGAGACGGTGGAGGCGCTGCGGTGGCGCTCGTGCTCCTCGTCCTCCAGCTCGTCGGCCGGCTCGGCGCTCAACTGAAAAGTTTGGTTTTTAAGGTTAAAAAATATTTCTACAACCCCTGGGAACAACACTCGCTTCCCAAGAGCCATAGATAAAGATCAATCTCCTTTTATAGGCTCGCTCTCCTCAGGTTGATCTACTTCCGCTTCTCTTGCCCAAACAAAGAGTCTTGTACTATGAGCGCGAGCTTCGAGACTGAAAACTCGAGATCGAGAGTTGGAAAACTCAAGATCTAGCCATTCACCAACTAGAGTTTGAAAACCCGAGATCAAGCAGTTCACCTTAATTCTTTTCAAAAGCCGCTCCTCCTCCTCCACATCTTCAGCGACCGCGATTTCAGCCATCAGCCGGTGGTCGGAGACGAGGGAGAACATCGAATTCGATTGGGTTTTGTCTGAAATATTTTTTTTGTTTTCGCCGAACTTTTTCGGCAAGTCCAGAAATGCCTTTTTTCTCTCTTTCCTAGATCTTTGCGCGTCATGCGAAACTTTTGGCCTCTTCTAACTACGAAGCATTGGCTTAAACGCTTTCTAAACTTTTCCAGACTTCGCCCTCCGCTTCGAAAACCTTTCCGGACCTGAATTACTTTGAAAAGCCCCGTCTTACGTAGCTGGGCCCTTATCAGCGCGGGTCGCCCTACACAAATCCTATCCTAATCCGCGGGTCTGCCGCACCGTTGTCGGGCTTGTAATCCCGGGTGTGTCAGGCTCGCTAGCTAGGGTCGGGCAAGCTTCGCGGCGAGAATTGCGTAAATGGGGGTGAAACGTTGGGACGTCATGTTATCGATGTAGTCATCTGTGCTAACGCTAGTTCCGGAAAGTGACCGGATCCGGAAACGAAATGGGTGAATTTTGAGGCTGGCAAGGGTTCTGTACGGAGCAATACGGACTCGTTTTTAGGCGATAGAAGCAGTTTTTGCTTTTCAGTTTTTGCAATGTCAATTAGCTCATTCGATAGAGCTTGAAATTCTGAACCACAACCCATCCTTCAAAGACTGCCAAACGATAACGTACTTCAATAAAATTCGCTCCAAAAAGGGCCGGTTTTGCTCGTTTTTGATAACCCCTTTCTCGAAGATCGTTATCTTTCAGCAGTTTTGAAAAACTAGGACCTGCTCAGAATTTTTCGCTCTTGCTCCGCTAGGTCATATCGCAAAATCTTGTCAGCCGCAGCCGAAGAACCAACCAAGCTTTTTCACCTTCCTTACCAAGACTCCCCCGCAACGTCTCCATCCCCGCTTCCAGCTGCCGCATCCCCTCCACCGGGTTCTTCACCTCGTCCTCCACCTTCTTCGCGAACGTCCGGATCAGCAGCTCCTCCCACAGCTTGTTCGGGTTGTGCTTCTAAAACGGCTGCATTATAAAACCCCGCAATTTTCTGTTGTTTTTTTTGTAAACAAAAACCTTGGTTCAACTATTTCGACACGCCCGGTCCCCCTGACTCCTAATCTGTTTTCCCGATCGGCTCACGCTACTCGATAAGTCAAAATATAGGACTCGTTTTTGTTCCGTCCCCACGCTACCGAGCTATAAAGAGAAAACAGGCGCGCAACCCTGAAGGGGATCATCCAGATTCTGCATGACACCTTGAACTTCCCTTCCCTGGCCCACAAGGTTTTCCGGGGAAGCGGAAAGAGGGTATGAGTTGAGGAAGAAAAGGGATAAAGGCAAACACTTCCATATGTGTTGAGTCAGAGCCGCGGCCCTGCGCGCTGGAATAGGGCCATTTACGGGTGGATGCGAGTGAAAGGGCACGGGTCGTCTTCCTTTTCGGACACTGTGTGAAACGCGCAGCTATGGTTCAACTATTCGGGGGTGGGAGGGATGATCGAGAAAACATGGTTTGACGTCAAGAACGTTGCGCGGCGCCATTCGGAATAGCATGCGGGGGTGTGGGTGGGGGTCAAAAGCTATTTGGAGGTGCAAAGAGATAGCATATGGTGCGTGGGAGCTAAGAAGGGTCGTAAAACCGATGCAACATTTACACCAGAAGCTTGAGAAAACACCGACAAATCGCTAATTGCCCGAGAACCTCCCAAAAACGGTAGCGAAAAGGGAAAAACCGCTCGCTCAATGTTCAAGTTTAGAGGTCGCGCTATATCGCTTCCAAATTGGCTAGTAAGATATCCGTGAACTAAGCCAAAATCGAATTTTTTCTCATACCAAAACCCTGAAAACCAAGCCCCCTCAAAAACAAAATAAAAAAACTAGCCAACCTGCAGCACCTCCCCGTTGCTCATCTTCCGCCCGTCCTTCGTGTAGTCGATGTGCTCGGCGTGGCGCCGGTTGAATAGCGGTCTGGAAGCCCCGCCGTCAGCTTGGGATGAGCTAAAAAGATAGACCTGTTAGTGAGCAGCTTCACGGCCATCTCCGGCTCGACCTTCACCCCGTCCACCGGCTGGCAGCGTGCCGCCGGCGTATCTCTTTAAACGGAAAGTGTTAGGAACTAAACTAACCAGTTAATGGCAAACCAATAAGGGGCGTAATTTACGGCAGTCAGGCAAAAAGTCATGATTGAAGAAGGATAGGGCAACAAACACGGTCGACTTACGTTGGAGCTGCGTAGAACTCGCGCATGCTGTCGCACGGAACATTCACCATTCCAATCATGATGGCTGAACTGAAATTAGGCAAATTCAATAAGAAATATCAGATTTACGATTCCCCAAGGGTGGGTAGCGAAACTTGGGCAGCCCTCAACTTCTTGCCCCGCCCATACGATAGCTTTATAGCGCGGCGAACCGTAGCCGAAAACAGGCTCCGCCTCCACAGCGAATACCCTATTGATGCAATGGCGTGGGCCTTCTTCGGCTTCTTATCAAAATCCACAGCTTATGAAGGGGCGAACATGCCTGAAGACGTCGGTCGTGACGACGAAAGATCCGAAAATAACCAATCCTAGAAAAACTAGACGCGCCAACCGGATCCGGACCATTGACCGATGCAGTAAACCCCAATAGCGTTCGGAAATTTCGCTGGCACGCGAGTCACCCAAAAACGCTTTTGTATGTATTACAAACCCCTCTTTTATCGTCGGTCATTTTTCCCCCCAATCAACAACACCAAAAAAATTTTAAAAAAACTTCCAACATAAAATAAAAAAAAAACCCGCCCCCCCCCCCCCCCCCCCCCCCCCTTCCTTTTTAACCCCCCCCACTTTTTTAAAAAAAATAAAAAAAAAAAAAATACAAAAAAATATAAAAAAAACTCCCCCCCGCCGTCTCCAAAAAAAAAAAAAAAAAAAATCCCAAAAAAAATTCCCCCCCCCCAAAATTTTTTCTCTCCCCTAAAACCGGGCCTCTGGTTTTTTCTAGCTAGCGGCGCGACGGGCCTATTGTTTTTGAATGTAAATGCTGTTGCTCTGGAATGCGGTGCAAAGACAAGGAGAAACAAACGTTTAATGGTCACAAAAAATGTTTTGAGATAACAAACAATTTATCAACAAAACAATATTATTTACTCATCATCCTCGCCTGCGGATCCAGCATCACCCTTCTTCATGTTGCGCCTCTTGACACGTCCGGGGCGGCCGCCGCCGAAGGGCGAGGTGAGGGCGAATTCGATGTGCTTCTGCGAATCCAAACGGACCATGAATGAGGGGACGTTCACGATTTGGCGACGAACTCTGAAAAAAAGTAAGTAGCAACGGAGTGACACTGGGATGCAATTATAACCAGTTATGGTTGAAAGGCATATGATCGAAAAACTAGAGCATAAATTTTTAGGTTCATAGAATATATATCTGCGGCTACAAAGCTTTAAAGAAAAGGGGTTGTTGGTTAAAAATTCTTTCCAATTGCGAAAAAGGTCAAGTACCCCAGTTCTCAACCCAAGCTATATGATGTATGAAAAAACCAACCGAATGTGTCTCTGGTGAATCAAAACGCGGGCGTGGTGGATAGATTTGGCGAGTCCAAGCTTGAAAACCTGAGTCTGGAGGCGGCGCTCAAGGAAGTCTTCAACTCCCAGGGCGAGGACGTAATCGAGCTTCATCTTGTCTTCCGACAGAACACCGATGCGGACGAGACGGCGTAGAAGCGCATTGCCTTCGAACAGACGTTTCGGGTCCTTCTCCTCGAGGGTCAGGAGCTCACGAGCGGCCTTTCGGACCTTGGCGAGGGTGTACTTGACGCGCCACACCTCACGCTTGTTGGCAAGACCGAACTCGCCGATGAGCTTCAGCTCCTGAAAAAGGAAAATTGTATGAGCACGGAATATATGAGGGCAAACCGCCGGGGACTGGCAATGACAATTGAGAAACGTTATACTGCGAAACCCAGCATTTATAGGGTCAAACCAAACTGAATTTCCGCCGAACAGCCCTCAAGATTATTGAAAAGCCGCAAAAAGTTTTCAATTGCGAGCGGATCAAGCCTTATGGATGCAGAAAACCCTATATTCGCCGGGATCAGCAGCAGTTTCCAAAGCAACCATGGAAAAGGAAGAATTCACATACCTGGTCGAGGCGCTCCTTTTCGAACGGACGGCGAGGTCCCTTCGAGACTTTAGAATGGACAGACTTTACCCGGGGCATGGCTGCCTGAAAAAGAGGTATTACTAAAGATTTCTGCAAAAAACGGCGTGAAAAGAGCGATCAAAATTGCAAAATTATTCGGGGGAAAAGAAAGTCTTTGGAAAATCGGCCGCCATTATTTCAATGCGCCTATGGTAGCCCTCATAGTGCCCCCGCCGCGGGACCCACGTACATAGGCGCGCCGGGTCGCCGATTTGACCGCGTAACTGATTGTGAGTTCCAATTGGTTTTTGATTAGTGTTTTACTTCTAAAGAAATTCTAAATCAATGAAAATAAACAAAAAGCAAGCTAAGATAATTTGTTAGTCATACTGGGATGATATTCGCCTTCTGCGTCCATACTATGAGTAATTTTGGTTTTTTCAAATATTATCCGGCGTTTTCGTACTAAGTTTTCTGTATGATTTCTTTCGGCAAAGCCTAAAGCTAGATCATGACTGGAACCTTCTTCGAAGGCTCGATATTGATCGACATTAGTGTCGGGAGCCCCAGTATCAACTGGCAGATGGCTGACAAGGTGACGCGACTCACTTTCCCGGGAACTTCCGAACTCAGAACTGAATTGTTTTTTCTTATAACCCCGGACTTGTTTTTGTTTTATCATGTATTTTGCGAATTATAACCTCGTATCTTTCATCAAGAACTTAAAACAAAGAGAATAGTATCTCATTTCAGCTAAACCATGGAGCTTCCCGATCCCTATTTGCCGGGCGCAATCAGCCTTCTCGACCAGTTGGATAAGAAGTTGATCGTCGTGTTGAGGGATGGCCGAAAATTAATAGGTAAGTTGATAATAATGCCAGTGAGTTAGAACCCCTAGACGAACCTAACGAATCTTTATATCCAGATTCAGTCCCAATCATGTTAGCGCATTTAGGTTACCTCCGATCAATTGACCAATTTGCAAATCTCATCTTGGACGAAGTGGTCGAGAGAACTTTTTGCGACAAATTCTACAGCGACATCCGGCACGGCTTCTTGTTGATACGAGGCGAGAATGTGGTGCTGGCCGGGGAGATTGACGAGACCTTGGATACCGGATTGAAAGAGGTACGTTTCTTTTTTAATGTAACGCGGAACCACCGGACTTCTAGATCACTGGCAATGAAATGACGATGTTACAAGAAGAACGGAGCCGACACCATAATAGAAAGGTTGGTTGGTTTCCGATTTCCTCTCACTTTAATAGATTTCTGGCTGACTTCGGGGTCCCGGGTAGTTTCTTGAAAATTTCGGCCCACTTTCGTTGAGTCATTGAGCTCGATACAGATCTGTCTTGGAAAGACCGAATTACACTGCCGATTCCCAGACGTTTTTCCTCAGATTCTTTTCGGCGATCTTTCAAAAGCATCTGCAAAATCGGAGCCGAGAAGTGGACGATAGCTCTAGCTTTACTGAGTGAGATGGATGTAACTTAAATTTTCAGCACGACCTGCCAAAAGCGGAGCCGCAAAGAAAAACGAAGCACGCAGACATGGATGATGCGTATTAACCTGTAAAAATCTGTGAATTCTTGTTGTTTTTGTTTTGTAAAGTTGACCCCCGGATCTGAACAATTTATTGCCGCCTTCCGGGGGTACTAACAAGAATCAATAAAGCGTTTTGCTGCCACAAGCTTGGTAAATACACGGGATTTCCAGGAGATTGTCGATGAGTGTTGTATTTTGGACATCTAAGCTTTTTGGAGGAGGCAATTACCTAGGCCTAGGTCCACACATCATCGGAGACTTTGCAAGCTCCACCTTTTCCTCCTTTTTTAGTTAGTTCATTCCTTACAAAGTTCATTCTTGCTGTGTTTTTGTTCTCAATCGGAAATTTCTCAATTTTTCAGGCGGCTGAGAAGGCGCATTTTTTGTGGCGGCTGAAGGTTTCAACAGGAAAGATTAATTTTGGTGAGTGAAAGCTTTTTTTGCTTGTATTTCTAGGTAATGACAAGAGTGCTACTTTTTCATGCGTAGCCAAACTTCCACGTGAAGCCGCGATGATTGCGGCGTTAGCACGCTTGAAATCGGCGCGCCCAATTATAGGGCCAGGGCCGCAGCAGCCCGTGATTTCATACATTAGCCGGCGCGAGGCGGGTTCCGATTTGTGTGCGTGTGTGTGAGCCCCCGCCCCATCCCAATCCGTTCACTCTGCGCCCTTTGCCCACTCTCCACGACGACACATGCCCGCCTTTTGCCGGGCGGCCGCGATAGGGCGGTGATTCTGCGATTTGCCCGCATACACAACAACATAGTGCGGAAAAGTGGCCCCCGGATGTTACCGCAATTTTCCATAGCTGCCGTTTCTTCCATCGCGAACATGTTTTGAGAACGTTTCTTTCCGGGGGAAAAGCTTTCAATGACGGGTGTTTGTTTTCGGCTCCACTTTGTTGATTTGGTTGCAGAAAGTTCCGGGGCAGCAATGGGGGAAAGCCGGAGTTAGTGTTTTGTATTTTATGTCGATGTCAGGACCGTTTCGGCCCGACATTTTTCACATAACGGCTTTGATTTTAATATTAGCGCTAACCTTCCGAGGTCAATCGGTTTGACGTGCTCTAATAATAAGCCAAAAATACCTTTATAAGCCTTGCCCAATTTTATCATAGTTTTCGTACACTTCGACAGATTCCCCCTCGGTCGGGACTTATTATGTATTCACCGTGCCGACTAAACAGATCCACGCCCCGCTGGAATGGCTCCGCCCCCCATAGACCAGCCACCATATCAAGATCTAGATATATACCGTCGTTTCCGCGATCCGCGTTCAGAACTTAACCCGTTTTCGACTTCAGCTTCAGCTATAAAAATTCCTTTTCCAGCACGTCACTTTCGCAGAGGGATGGCCCAGCTCCACAAAGTGGTCTTCGTGCTCGGGCCTCCCGGATCCGGCAAGGGGACGCAATGTGCCCTCATTCAAAAGGTATTTTTTTTATCAATTTCGTCTATTACTCTTTTTTTGAGAATTTGGGTCTTGTCCACCTGTCGGCTGGTGATTTGTTGCGAGCAGAGCGCCAGCGACCGGATTCTGAGTAAGTATATTGTTTGTCTACCCATCATTTATATTTTAGATACGGCCGATTGATCGACGAACACATCAAGAATGGTTCCATCGTGCCGGTGGCGATTACGTGTGCACTTCTTGAAAATGTAGAGTTTTGCGTATTTTTTAAAGAACTTTTATTTTTTTCAGGCGATGAAGGCTTCGGGCGACTCGGCCGGCTTCCTGATCGACGGCTTCCCCCGGAACCAGGATAACCTAGATGGATGGCAAAAGGAGATGGCAGATAAGGTGAGAAGTTTACAAGTGGTTTTTGTTAGAAACCACGACCCCAAAAATAATCCCCGATGAGCCGGCAGCGGGCGCTAGGATTCGGAAACGCTTATCAGGCCTATAACCTATGCGCTCCGTGCGCTTTTTGCCGTGATTTCTCGGCGTTTGGGGCGACCGGGCGGGGTCATGCCGGAAAATGGCAAAAGCCGCTCGGCGCGAATGGGAACTAGGAATGTTGAAAATTAATTCCGGGAGCTTCGGATGGAAAGGAAAAGCCGCCGGGAATAAATATAGGGCATGAAATATGATTGGCCGAGCTTTATCAGGCGCCGTATAACTTGCTTCTCACGGATACGTTTTAAAATGTCACTAAAATCAAATGAAAATTTTTTTAGAAAAATGCTTAAAAAATGGAATTTTATTTGGAAAATAGGTTACTTTTGCTCTAAATATTTAAATTTGTGTTTTTTTTAGTAGATCGGCATGGATTTTTCACATTTAGGAATGGTAGAAAACAATATAGAATCGCTTAAATAACAAAATTGGGTCCTAAGGAAAAAGCTCCCTCCCGCTACCTCCAAAAAACCTCATTTCTTTTCAGGTAGACGTCCGGTTCTGCCTCTTCCTTTCGTGCCAAACGGGTGTTTGTGTAGATCGTTGCTTGCATCGAGGGCAGGGAAGGTAAATTTTCATAATTTAATTTTTATTTCCTGCTACCATATAATTTGTTCTCTTCAGAACCGACGACAACGAAGACTCGCTCCGCCTGCGCATCGACACGTACAACACCCAGACATTCCCGATCATCCAGCACTACGAGAAGCTCGGCCTCGTCCGCGAAGTCAAGACTAACCGCGACCCCCAAGACGTGTACGTCGACGTTGAGAAGGTCTTCAAAGAAGACGGATTCTAGGATTATCCCTTAACGTGAAATGTATGTATTTCAACCTTTTTTTTGCCGTGAGAGCATTCCCTCCTTATTTTTGTTCTGCTGCCCACTGTGTGACTCCTTCCGTCTCCCATCTTCCCCCGATACTTATCGAACTTAACACACGACCCAGATTCGCTTTCCCCCTCTTTCTACCCCCCAGTTCTCCCCCAGTATTACGCGTTAATTTGAGTATTGCTATATGCTATTGTGTTGCTGACTTCAGTGAAACTTTTAGGCAAATAAACTTTTTTATGAGACCTTGGTAGTTTATTAGAGTACGCTTATTCGATATTTGTTTATCCTAACAACAACAATATCGGCCAACAAGAAAAAAAATAACAACCTAGCTTGAAAAATTCTATGCTTCCGGTTGTATTGCCCAATCCGGGAGATCAGTCTGATAGCTCCAGTTCTCTGTTTCGTATCTGAAACCTTTATAGCTACGCAACCGCGCGATAAATACCGTAAACAATGTAGATTCAGCGAAAAGTGCGCCATTGTTGGGGCCTTTTTCACGACATTACAGCCGAGGCACACGGGGTCATAGGTCGGCCGCTCTTCCCGGGTTATAAAGGGGGTTCGGCGGTCACCTGAATATATCATTAGCCAGTTAACGAAAAATATTTCACTACCTCCCCAAACGCCATCTTCTCCATCATCTCACCGTATCCGGGCGCGATTTCCTCGAGCCAGTTCGTCATCTTGTGGTTGTCTCGCACATCGATGGCTAACTAAAGAAGCCTGGATGCAAATTTGAAATCTACCTGATCGAAACCCTTCTTATAATCGGCGCCTTTGCCCCGCTCCGGGCCCCAGACGGTCGAATTGTAGATGGTGTCCCCGACGATCGGGTGGCCTAAAAGAGGGGTTTTAGACGCCAAGAACGACTCCAAATACCTAGAAATTGGGCGTGGACTCGAATTTGATGCGTTCGCCCAGTGTCGATGGTTACCCTAGAAATAGAGAACATTTTGAAGCCTTTAAAATGCCATACTTTACAACAGAAACCTTCCCATCTGTCCACATCCTTTTGAATCGTGATCGGGCGTCCTTGCCGTCGGCCCGCACGCACTGGATGCCCATACTCACCACCAGATTCCCGAGCGACTCCTCGCACACGATTTCTTCCCTAAAAATCGTCGTTGTTTTCGAGAGGAAACTCTAACCTTAAAATGGCGCTTTAAATAGAGTTTTTTGATTTATAAAGTTTAGTTTTTCATAAAACAGTAAAAAAAGGAAATAAAACGTACTCTGGAAAGACGCCATCCACCTTGCAAACATATTCCTTCACCCAGTGGCCGAGCTTGAGCGTTTGTTTAAACTAAAAAAAGTTTTTTAAAGCCTAGAAAAATTACGTCGAGATCCGTCGCGTAGTTTTTCGCAAACAGCAGCAGCCCGGAAGTCGTACGATCCAACCGGTGAAGCACTAAAAAAAACTTTTAAACAAACTACAAGTTTCCAATTTATTTATTTTTGTTTTCAACGTCTGCGCCACAAGCCCATTTTCGGCTTTCCACGACCGGCGGGGCAGACAATTTTGCGTGTGTGCTAATGGACGTGCCTCTCAGGCCGGTGATTTGATGCTGGGTGCGGAGAAGGCCGAGAACCGTGTGAATCGAGTATTGGCCGCACGCGTGCACGGGCAGGCTCGCCGGCTTGTCTACGACGAGGAGGTTTTCGTTGTCCTCGACGATGCGGATCTTGCAGTCGAGCACCTAAATTTGTCGTTTTTGAATATCTTTAAAAACCGGGTACTTTTGCAATATCGGGGGAGGGGGAGAACAAAGAAAAACCATATCATTTTCGACGGGAATTTGAAGTTTTAAAGCATTTTCCGAGTTTTCTAATTAGTTTTTCCACGCGAAGGATAACTGCTTTTTTGGCGCTAAGCGGCTACTCCCTAGAAAATTTATTAAAAAAAATAATTAAATGCTCGATTTTTCATTGTAAATTTTTAAACATTTTTCTAAGCTTTCTAAATTTTTTCATTTGAAATATAGCTGAATTTCATCAAAAACTATGAAAATAATTAAACGAACTATGTTGCCTTATGTTGAAATTTCCCAGAGCGCCGGTTTTTCAACAATTAAAAACGCACCGGATGCTCGTGCCGGTGGCCCCAGTGCTCGATAAAGTCGGCGTTCTTCAGCACGTACTCTGTGTCGGTGATCTGCTTCCCGTTCACGTAGACGCGGCCCAGCTTCACGGCGACCGTCTGAAATTTGATGCTTGGAGTGTGCCATCCAATTTCGCTTGCACCGGAGAAAGAACCTCACAAGACGATGAACGCGCTTTTTCACTCAAGTAACCCCGAATTTATAAGGGAGGAGCGGTGAACGAGGGCTGGGGATCATTTCCGCGAAGGGCCCTTGGACGCTTCGCCAGGGCACCAAACCAACAAAAAGCTCATCACAGGTCTTTTCGGATGGTCGCAACAGCCTTTTAAAGGGTTTAGACGTCTAGTGGCGTCACTTTTCACGTTGGTAAGCTTCCATGCGACTTCTAAATCCGGTTCTTTTGCGTTATCGGGGGTCCTATATGGGCAGGTTTACCTGGCTAAAGCAAGTGATTTAAAAGCGTTTTTTATAGAATTTAGGGTGCTTTCGCATTATCGGGGGGTCCATTTAGAAATTCCTAGTAACGTAATATGAAGTATCCAAATAGCGTTTTTAGTAAATTTAACTTGATTTAAAATGGAAAAGCCATCTGAAAAACTTATAAAAGTTGAAATTTTTCATCTAGAATTTAAGCTATCTTTAAAACGTCAAAAAAATTTTCAATATTCGAAATTTTTTCGGAGTGGGTTTTTTGCGTTGCTTTGCCGTTTGCATTTTTTGGACAAATATTTTAAAGTTTTTAGTTGTATGAATAGTACAAAATTAAGTCCTAAACAAAAAACTGGACCCTACCACGATCGCAAAAATTAGGGCTTCAAAATAAACCCGAATTTAACGTCTATACCGGTCAGCCTAAAAAAACGCTGGTCTTCTGGGCGCTCATGGGCGGCCAGCCAATTTGAACGACCATTTCATCTTCCCAATTAGAGCTCGTTGCAGCCGGACGCTGCAGACGTCTTCGGAAAAAACCAAGGATGACCTTGGAAAGGGTAGACTGGTGCTCCCGGGGTTCCCCCGGAAACTTTTCTTATCTTACAAGCTTGAAAGACGCACATTTTTCCGATTTTTAGATTAAATGACGGCATTTTCTGGACCTCTGAACCTCAACTTCTTTTGTGCTCGTCTTTATGGGGTGGGGGGGCTTTCCCTTTTTTTTTGGGGGGGGAAAGAAAATTTCCTTTCCCTTCCCCCGGGCCCCCTTCTTCCCCCCCTCCTCTTTTGGCCCCCCTCATCTCTTTAAAGCCCTAATTTTTCCAAAGAATTGTCATCTACGTAGCTTCCGGTCCGCTAGTAAATCCTTCTGATCGCCCCAGACCCGGCCGACGTTTCTCACCGATGTTAATGGGGGCCAACCCGTCACTTGCCGAAGATATGTGACCACCACCAAAAGCCTGGCCGCCAGGCCCGACTACCCGCCAAAAGCTTCAGCTGTTTTCGCTATTAAAAGCTGATACCAGCGTTCAAAAATAGGCTATAAAGGTGCTTTTTCATTATCGGGGGGAGGGGCGGCTTGATCGAAACAGGAAAAGCTTTTGCCTACAAACTAATTTCTCTAAGATAAGTAATGGCAGTGTTTCTCCGCTTTTGTTTACTTTTCCTAATCGTAAAAACGCCATAAAATTTTCAAAACGTACAAAATATCAATCATTGGACCCAAAAATTTTCAATTTTTCTTTTTGAAAAGTTTTTAACTAGTTTTTCCAATTGACACACAGTCAACTCTTTAGAACCTGTATTGAAAAACTTGCTATTAGATTATTAGACATTTCTCGGCTTCCGCCCGCCCCGCCGCCCTACCCCCGTTAATGCAAAAGAACCAATTTTTCGCAATCTATATTTTGGGCTAGTTCTATTTTGAACCACACAAAATGGCACACCCCCTTTTGAACTTCGATCCGGCCAAATACCAGCTTCGGCGGAAATTGAACGAAACCGGATAGCATGCCGCGCGGACGGAGACGTCTTCACGGTGTTCAGTCACAGTTTTGACATAGACGCCGTACATATCGTTGTTTTGAAAAAAAAAACGGCTGCCCCGCGGCGAACGCTAACTCCCTTTTTGCAAGTTTTGTTAACCCAATTTGTCTAGTGTTTTCTCGGGGTCTCCTGAAATCACCGAAAGCGAATCTCCGGCCGGTCCCTCTTTCGGATATGGCCAATTTTTGAGGGGGAAGTCAGGCAAGAGCCGTCTGTTGCATCTCCTACACCCGCATCCGCCTAGCCATAATAAAACTTTTTTAATTAGTCACAACTTAGATTTGCGAAGCCTATTTTCGACGTACTATTGAGCAGAGCAGTTTAAAAAAAGCTGCATAATTTATAATATAAATTGTCTGCCAGACCCTATTTAACCTATTTAACTACTTATTTATTTTATTTAACCGCTATTTAACCCCCCCCGCAAGAAACCTTTACCAGTTTATCAGCCTAATTTTGCAGCGTTTTCACGATTTCCATAGACATTTTCTAGGAATCACTTTTTTTACCTCTTCTAAGTCAAATTTTCGAAAACCACTTTCGAAAAATGTATGTATCTAAATTGAACCGTCAAAAACGGCATGAAATAAAAATGTAAAATTTCGAAATTCTGATTTTCGAAAAATCATTTCGGTAAAAAGACGTTTTAAAAATGTCATGGCCATTTTCTCGGTCCCCAAAACCTCAGCAAACCCGAATCACCGGTCCCGCTGTTTTGGATATGGCCATTTTTTGAGGGCGAGAAAAAGGCTAGGGAAGAGCCCCGTCCGCCGCACCTCTCACCACACCCAGATCGCCCGGCCACAAATCGAGTTTGTCATGGGCCTTTTAAGGGGTGCTTCTCCTGGGCTGTGGCCCAGGTCAAAGGGTCCTGCTCCTCTTCTT